TAGTGCAAAGGGAGAAGCTCTTGGAGGAATCAAGGAGATATGACTTTAAAGCTGAAGGTCAAAGAGTTTCAAAAGGCTCCAAAAAAACTGGCTTGATTTTCAAAAGCTCTAAACATCTACGCTGTGTCTAGACTGGCAAGTTTTTCCACAAAAGAGGCCGCTTTTGTGCAAAAACTTGCCAGCTATCTACACTGGCTGCTTGATTTTGCACAAAAGCACTGACGTTCTACTGTCTGAAATCAGTGCTTCTTGCGCAAATGCTTTGACGTTCCCGTTCGGGCAAAAGCCCTTTTCCGGAAATGTTTCTGCGCAGGAGGGCCAGTGTAGACAGCTAAAAACTGTTCTGCGCAAAAAAGCCCCCATGGCAAAAATGGCGATTGGGGCTTTCTTGCGCAAAACCGTGTCTAGAGTGGCACGGGTGCTTTTCCGCAAAAAGTGCTTTTGCGGAAAAGCGTCCGTACCAATCTAGACGTTCTTTTCCGCAAATGCTTTTAACAGAAAAACTTTTCTGTTAAAAGCATTTGCAGAAAATCATGCCAGTCTAGATGTAGCCCTATTGTTCTAACTGAAGTAATCAGTGGGAATTTCTAGAGGATTAGCACTTCTGAAAAATCAGGTCACTTATTTAGGAGCCTAACTTTTAGCTCTTTTCAAAATTCCAAACTACATATTAATTAAACCAAGAGCAAATTTATTTGTTACAGAAACAATTTTGCTGTAGGCTAATACATGTTATTCATAACAATCTGCAACCATAAAGAGGCCTGATTTTGCAATGTGGTGAGCAAAAATCCCACTAAAAGCCTCTTCCTTTTCCAGCTCTTCTAGGGATGTTAACTATCGGTTATTTTACTAGTCAAGTAGTTGATGGAATTTCCATCGACTACTCGACGAGTTGATAGGCACTTCTGCATTCTTTCTTTGAAATGTACAAGAGCCTCCACTAGGAAGAATACAAAGCATGCAGCTCGGGGTCAGTGGTGACTCCAGATTGTACATGGGTGTGCCAGTTTTGAAATGTACAAGGGTCCCCAGCAGGGGTTCTTGTGCATTTCAAAGTAGAAGTACAGAATGGATCCCAAGGTCAGTGGGATCAGCTAGGGGCTGTTTTATTGTTAATCAATGGGGCAATCTTTTCATGTTTTTTAACACAAATACAGTAACAGACATTTACGTGGCACATATTCTAGTTCCATTGCATTATTACTCATTGGTGCACACCATTTTATTTTACAGAGTCTTTGTCAGTGTTTTACTGTAAACATTGTTGACCAGACTATTTGAAGGAAGAAAAAAGTTATCTTTTTGCTCTTCTTTTTAACTGTACAAATATACACAAGCCAAGAATGTGATTAAAACACAGAAGGATAAGAATAAACATTGAGATTCCCTTTCATCAGAAATATATTTTGTCAAATAAAATAAGTTTTTAAAGCATTATAAACTAAATTTACTTCTTGTATATTTATATGCCAGATTTCTGATACATTTAGCACCATAATTACAGAGGAATAAACCATGCACTAATGCTTACAAGACTCAAAATGGTTGTTCAGGTGAGGCCAGAGTGGCAACAGGCTACATAGTTTGCAGAAAAATTGGAAGTATTTAGAGTTTATTTTGGTAACAAAGACAAGAAAGCAACATTTTTTGAATTTGTGTAGTAACTAGCTGGAATTAAGAACTGTTTCCTTTAAAGCTGGGGCTCATTTTTTTTTGTCAACAGTATGTGAAATCAATAACAAAGACTTTTGGGGAGATAGTAAGCTGGCTACTTTTTCTTGAATCATCAAGGTAAACAATTCCAGATGGTTATTTAATCTCACACTCTAGTTGCTGGTTACCTGAAACATTTTCAGCCATTCCTGAAGTCCTGTAGGTGGCTGGACAGATGTAATCCGGCGACGCTGTTGTCCTTGTCCATTGGCTGCTCTCAGGTCCCCAAATGTAGTAGGTGTTGCTGAACATGGCACAAGTCCAGTAGTGCTATGATACAAATATGTGAAAGTCAGAAAAATTATTGCATTATGAAAAATGAAAAAGTCTATATTCTTAAAGTGTTTAGTACTGCAGGTACAAATCTGAATTAAAATAACTTTTTGAGCTTTGAGACTGCACACAGGTAACAACAACTTTGGACAATCTTCTCTGTCTTTTAGGGAGTCAGTTTCCTCACATCAATACAGCTGTTTCTATCATTCCAATGTTAAAAATGGGTAGCATTCACTGAAGACCAAATGAATGCCACTTTATCCCACTGGCCAGCAAGGAATGCTTATGAAAAAAGGCAAGAATGCTTATGATACTTCCTTTCACTCCAACTATATGTGTAATGTTTCCTGTGTGCCTGTCTCCAATGAGGTAGGAAGCAGGACGTCACAGGTCTCAACTGTATTGTTATAACATGTTGATGCCTCACTGCCAAACAAAATAACCCATTGTTTAAATCCTAGCTATATTTTGACTTGAATGTATTTTACAAATTTGTGTTTTAATTGATAAATATCATCATAGTCTGCATATTAATAGATTACCATCATTACAATTGGGGGGCAGAGAGGCAGTAGTTTTGCCCCTATCAATTCTTAATTGTAACATTTTTAATAGATTAAAAAGATCAGATACAGGAATATGTCTTATTCTTTCCTGACCATCCCATATGACTGATCAAAATTCCTAGAGAAGTCTACCACAGTATTGTCATCCAGCCTTTAATTTTCTCTCACCTTACATCATGTAAAATGCTCCATTTACAAGATACCTGACCGATATAGCCCCTACTTAAATATCTTGGATCTATTTTAAAACACGTTTGTACAGATACCTTACTGCAGGACATGCAGAATTCAAATACACTGCAGATTCCTAAATAGTTTGCTTTATTATATTTAAAATTTTGCAGTAAATCTAGTAGATTTACTCTTCAGGATTTCACTGGAGAAATGATTGCTGTAAACTGATGCAATATAGATGTATTTCTAACTGGCATTTATTTTTACTTTTATTTTATTTTGTTTTTCTCCAGTACTGTAAGACAGTACCATGTGTATAAAAAATTTGCATGAACTGACGAAGAATAAGAACGGATACAAATGCATTTATTTCTTGACTTGATATTTCAATAAGTTCTAATATAAACAAGATCTAGTACAGAGCACTTTATTTCACAGAACACTGCTGTCTTTTAAGAACAGTCAGCGAATACAGATAACCAAAGAATTTCTTCACAGGTGCAAATATGTTCATCAGGCCTGTCAATCTTCTTCTAACAACAAGAAGAATACATAAAGACATTGAGATGCAAGAATTACATCATTTTACCCAACAAAGCTAAATATCAAATGACTTAAAAGATCAAGGCATGAAATTGTCCTGTTTTATTTACAAAAAGGGTTTTATTGTGTAGAAACTCAAAGTTCTGAATTCCAATGGAAAGACTTAGAAAAAAAATCTGCTTTTAAGTTAATCCATGATACTTTTAAAATCAAGGACTTTTCTAATTCTATTCTCCCCTGTGCAGAAGGCCAGCAAAAAGCCAATTCCACACTTCGCCTCCAAAATAAGGCTTGAGAATGAATCTTATGTGAGATTTGACTGGTGCATAGGCCTTTTACTGCCACTGTGCGCAATCAGTGAATTCTACCTTTGGTGTGGGTGAACAAGCATCAGGGGAAAAAGCGAAGGCTATCAATGTTTCTGAGGGACACCATTTTCATTTCTTCTAAACTATATTCAGTAGGATCGAATAATGGTGTTTTTCTGTAAGGAAGTATCTATAGTAGCTAATTTTTGAATGTTGGTGATAAAATGGATTAGAAAATATTAGGAATGGATTAGAAAATTAGAAATCTGTTAAAAGCAACACAAAATATAAATGCTCTCCTTAGGCTAGAGGAATTAAAATACATATTTTAAGTAAATAAAATGTCTGACAACTATTTATTTTAATGTAGTATCAGGGAGGATGTTATACCTTTATTTAAATGTCTTTCACTGCTACATTGGTCAAAAAATGCAATAATCCACAACAAACTAAAAGCAACATCCTTTTGAAATCACTTTAAACCTGATCACTGTTCATACTTTTTTATATTTAGTGCTTTCAGAATGTATGTTTTCATTCAATTAAAACGTATCAGTCACATTCTCCTAGAGGAAGCTGGAAAAGAAACAATCTGAAAACAAGCAGATATATTTTGCTAAATGGTATACTTTATCTACTTGCCTTTTTTTTGGTGGACCACAAAAAACTACGGATTTTTGGCAGAGTAAGTTCAGAAAACTAAGAACAATTAAAAAAATATATTAACTAGAGATATCTAAGAAGTCAGAATAGTTATATTCACTCTCTAACAATGGTCTGTTGTTCTTTAATGTTGCCATTTATAAAAATCGAAGACCAAATACAGAAAATTTTCCTAAATTTTCTAAACTTTTTATTTATGCAATAGCCCTTTTAAAAGAAGAAACATATAAAATGTAATTTACAGTTTTAAGATACATTCACAGTGACATATTCAAGAACTGACCTGCTAAACCAATTTTAAGTGGAAAGTAACTGGGAAAGTTTTATGATGATACAAGTTCCAAAATGATGGCATGCAGTAGGACATTAGAGAACAATTATATCTAGTTGTTATGGCAACTACAGTAAGTAAAGAGCATATTCTAATGTATTCATATAGACCATTTAAAATCTTTCCCTTAGAAAATAAAGTATTCTTGCTAATTCAGGGCCGGGCCCCATTCTACTCCCTTACTCATGCTGATTAGTATCTTACTCTGCAAGGAGTCTCACTGAAATAAATGCAACTACTTGTGCACTAACTTACAAATCAACATTAGTAAGGGAGAAGTTGGGACTCATATTATATTATAGATAGCAAGTATTTTTCTGTAATTTTCTTAGGATCATATGTTCAGTTCTGCCTACATAAATTTCCACTGAAGTATTTCCGTTGATATATTTGATATTTTGAAAAGTCTTTATTTTTAGAATTTTTTACCATTAAGTCCCTTTTAATACTGTACTAACTTCACACTGTATTTTGAGGGATGCTTTTACCCTGTAGAAAGCTTTGTAGATGGGCAATATATTATAAATTAAAAGTAAACCTCTAAAGAAATAAACTTCAGCTACTGTATTAAAACTCAACTTCAGTTTCTATAGTTTTAACCACCTGAATTACATGTTTGTAATAGGTATAATATCACCAATTCCCTTCTATAGTGTTAACATTTAAGATGAGCTATGAATATTCAGTCTGAGCAGCTGGAAAGACAGGATGTACATGTAAGAATCATGACCAGATCATCTGTTATTACATTTAATTACCTCGTGTATTCTGAGACTTTGCAGGGTTTCTTTCCCAGAGAGAAAGAACGGACCTCGGAGCCATGGTCCAACTTTCTCTTCATCTGCAAGATGGGGAGGGGAAAAAAAACCCCAAAGATTTAGTTGTATGACCAGCATAAATCACGTCTAATATCTAAAATGAACACATTTTCCCTTTTACCTGAATTTTCATAAATCCCGCATTAATAAAATAATTTGAAATAATGTTTCATTTATATCTTGAAGTAATAAAATGTGAAATACTTATTCATTAAAACTATTTTATGACTAAAGTGTATACCATTGCTACTTTGGGGACTAAAGATACTTAAAACTACCATCTTACTTTTTGCTTCCAAGAGTTATTTTATACAGAAAGAGAGTTTGGATATAACTATGAAAAGGTTTATTTTAAAAAAATGTATCTTTGTGAAGCCTCTGGAAAGAATTTCACCCCATTATTTTAGTTTCATAGCTATACCAACTGTGAAGTCTGAAAATGAGAAGTGGGTTAAATTTTGTATAGTCTCTGGGCACTGTAGAGCAAATGTATGTTTAGGCATTAAATAAAAACAAATTTCAAATACTTAAAAATGATTCATCTTAACATTGTTAATTTACTATTTCAAACAGTTATGAAATGACAGCAACACTGACAAAGATGGCATTGACATTTTTACAAAAGGACTAAAATTTAAAAGAATGTCACCCACAATTAGATATGATCAACAAACAAATAATGAACAGGGCAGCTGTTAAAAGGAGAAGCAAGTCTGCAAAAATTACCAAAGAGATGGAAACCAGTGAAAGACATGTTCATCCATCCAGACAAATAAGGATTACTTCCTACATATGTTGGTAATCTTCAACCACAGATTTTTGGACTCAACTGAAAATCATTTTATGCCAAATAAAGATTTGTTTTTGATGTAGGCAAAACATGTTAGCCATTAGTAGAGCAAGAACAACGATTGGCTGCAGAATGTATGAACTACCCATGCATTAATTTGGACCTTAAATATTTGTGAGGGTTTTTAGGTTTTCTTTTTAGCTTTGTTTTTAAGATGAATGGCTTAAAGTTAATATCTTAGATGCATAATATTCAGTGATTCTGTTTTTTAAAATATTGCAGATGTTATTTCTTTCATCTTTATGATTGGTTTCAACCATTTATTGTACCAGTCTTCCTTCCTAAAAGGAACTGGATTCTCTAAAGATATACAATGTTTACATTAGAAACATTTCCTTTTAAAATACTCTGACATTTACATATCACTTAGGAAACATTCAATTAAGCTTTTGTATTTTTTTCCATTAGTAATTAAGAGAAAGGACTACTAAGGTTATACATACTAATTAAAAAACAAAACAACATTCCTTATAGCTAAATCTTGTTTTCTTGCCCATGGCTCACATGGGACACAATAAACCGTGTCACCATAAAAACATTAAACAGAACAAACAACCCCCCCAAAAACCCAACAAATCCCAAAGGCAAGAACCAACCCTACCCTCCCACCACCACTCCCCCACAAATTGTTCTAAGCAACACTGAGAATAATGGAGACCATCTTTTATCATTGTACAGGAGCAAGACAGAAGGACCACTGGAAGCCTAAATCTCATTTGTTTTAGTGTAACATCATGCTAGAGAAATCTTCTAGTCTGAATCTTAAGGGAGTATTTTAATGTTACAGGAAGTTTTTAAAATTAAACTGATTTTCTTGAGAGGATATTTCAAACCAATACTTATATTTGTGTTTTGGTTCCCTCCTATCACAAGAGATTTACTTTTTCAAAAGCAAAAATGGTTAGGTATAAGAAATATAATACTGTACTAGCAATAGCATAAACAGGTATATTCATTTATTCTTCTATTGGTACATAGAAAATATTTATATCAACATACAATCCTATATTTACCTAATAATGACATTTCCAATTTCCCGTTCTCAATTATTTTAAGAAACTTTTTCATCTGTTCTTATCAGCTTCGTGCAAATGCATTTACCATACTAAGAAAAAACTTTGTTTCCAGAAAACTGCTCTAGTAACAAAATTTAGATTTCAGTATGATTTTTGTGTGACTGAAAACTTGTTTCAGAAATACCCAAGCAAACATCCTTGTGAAATAATTCTCTGTGACTAAAGTCCTTTAGACAGTGTTGATTTACTGAAATAACAGATCTTGGATCAAAATATCAAACTGTATTCTGCATCATTACCGCAAATACAGAGTGGTACCTAAGTCTTCCATAGCCCACTGCATTACATGTAAATATCAACACCGTTACTTGCACCATTTTGTACATTCACATTAGCAAAATGAAAATAAAATAAGCCTGAGAGATATGGTAAGGTACAGAAAGAAGATTCACTAAGGAACAGTTATGCATGGAGAGGTTTCAGGTTAATATATAGCTAAGCTGCATTTTGAAAGTCAAGCAGTTTATTTGAAGGTAAATTCTCAGATCAACATATCACTTCTTATTTAGATTCCTAGGATAAAAGCTTTTCACATCTCATTTAGCCATTTCATTATTTCCCTTCATTCATGCTGTAGAAAAGAATGTCAGGCATCCAGCCACCCACCAAAAAGAGAAGATACTGCAGCCATCTCTGATGATACAGATTTTTTTCTTCCTTAACACAGACACACACACACACTCTCAAACAAGAAAAAAACAGGTTACTTACTTTGTAAAAAATCATTTTTAAAGTGCCGTAGAACCCCATGTTTTCTGTATTTTTTCCCTTCAATGATTCTGTGCCCCCGTGCGTCCGACTGCTTGGTAGTCTCTGACAATATAAACCTTTTTCAGGTAGGTATGTCACAGACTCTAATGTGGACATGCTCGGGCACGTCAGAAAAGGAAGATTAGGCAGCAGAACCAGCAACAAAACTCCACAAAAAGGCAAACGAAGCGCAGTATCAAACCGCTTCTCAGGACACATACATACATGCAGCTTGCTGGAGTAGAACTTGAGGGAATAATGAGAGAGAGGGGGAAGATTATTGGAGGAGACTCTGCCCTGTCAAAGCCTTGACTTAACAGATTCCTCCTTTAGCGGCAGAGGATCAGATTACATCTTCCCTCGCTCACGGAATGGTGCAGTCCAACCTTCAGCAATGCAGGCTGCACATCAATTACATGGTGCTCAGCTCCACGGAGCCTGT